TTTTTTTTTTTAAATAAGAAACTATTTATAGCAATAAATTTTTATTAATTAAAAGCATCATGTTTTAAACCTGTATATAATTTAAGCCAATATCTAGTCACTCTTTCTTTATTTTTATTTCTTTTTTTTTGTTACAAAATCAGCTACTGTTATTTAGGCCAGTGAATAAAATTTTTTTTGCGGTTAAATATCAATTAACAATTGCATTTTCACGGGTTTACACAAAGATCACTGGATAAAAAAAACGTAAAAATATTAGAGCTAAAACAATTTATAAAGCTTTTGAACCTTTTTTTTGTATCACATTTAATGATTGTAAGTTTTGCAAATCCAATTGAGCAACTTTTATAAGAATAGGAAAACGACAAAACATAGAAACAAATATGTGACTTTTAAACTGAAATCTTTTAGCTTAGTTTTTAGATGATAGCACTTCCAAATTTATGGGCAAGAATACTAAACTCTAAAACGAGCAAAAAATTCTCTCAATAACTACAGACTTGTTCGTACGAACATTGCCTTCTGATAAACCCGAAAACAGAAGCCACAATCACAAGCGTTTTTTGAAGGCAATTTTTAGCGGGCCTTTTGGACTGGACCTCAAGCACTTGTTGGCTTCCATATAACTCATACCCTCAATATTGACATCTCCAATTGCCACGATTTGATCACCAACATTTAGTCGTCCACATTTTGCTGCTTCTGTGGCTAAATCGTCGATACTGTTACAAACAGTAATTGTAAAATAAACTTTTAATGTGTCAAGTTCTATTGAGAAACTTTCAACATCCAGAAGAAAATAATTGGTAAGTCAACTCAGTCAGAGAAAAGGCAAATAACAGCCTGATAAACGAACCTTCGAAGATAACTTTAATAACAATTGGACGATCGCCATAAATGGATCCCCTGCCGCCATCCAACGACAGTCCCACGCCCAATGTACCCTTTATTAACGTCACCTCTTCAACAACATTTGAGAAGCTGAACGAAGCAGGGTCAATAGCTACTAAAATTGTAAGGGTTTTTAGGACTGGACAAGACGCCGCAAATTTGCAAAATTTGATAAACGCTAACAATGCATAACGATCATTTTG